TTCAAAGCGTCATTTCTAAGCTTATCGTGAACTGGCTAGATGAGTAGAATTTATTTGCGATGGGAATTTTTAGAATACATATCAGCGATCATGATTTCACAAAACTTTCTAACATGAATGGGCAGAACGTTCAGTATTAATAAGCAGCAATGTGTAAATTAGCTGGAGAAACCGCCTCCCAGAACTGAAGACACGCTGTGGCTTGTGTGACAAGTGACCTTTGAATTCAGTGTGAACTCGGCCGAGTCGCAGCAAGCAACTCGGTGGGTGCGTTTACGCAACGAACCGATGCCATTTTGCAACTGATAATTGCTTTTGCTTCAGAGTAAATTCTTCCCAAAAAGATGAACCGGTTTCGTCAACGTGCATGCCAATGTCGAGGGGGATGAATGAGCGATGGGCACGTGCTTCAGTCTGAGAAAACTTTCTCAGTGTGTTTGGAGTACCTCGAGTGTGTGAATACACTTTTTTAAACTGTAAATTCCATGAAATTTAAGTACAGTTTAGGCATTGCCCATGAAAATTTGGCATCTGACTTGAATTGCAAGATTTTGAAGACTCATTGCAAAAAGGACCTAAAATATTTCGATAATAATCTATGTTGATTACATACTGACATGTCTTGGATCTATATGGAAACTATTTATATTTCATTTCCTTTGACCCGGAGGTGGAGCTACAGGCTCAACCTGATTCAGGTTCCACGTGTGGGGTGGACGGCACCCTGGTGGTGCTGTCGACTTGATGTTGCAATGCACCAGGAGGCACCGTGAGTCCGTCAGGCAGGATGCCAAGCAATCGGCCGATCCCACCTTGTAAATCTGCACAGACAGTCCCCGGGGGAGACACGGCTGCCCCGTGAGCACACAGCCCACATTCGTGCACTGCCCGGTGTCAGCACCCCTTGACGATTTCTGTCTGAATCAGTCACTTCACTGGGGATGGTGAACTGCTTCTCCTTTAATTCTCTCATTCCATCCTATTGATTTGTTGGACTTATTCTGAAAAGAAGAGTTTTCCCTCATCACTAGGACTATCTGAAATGGTCTGTATAGGTCACTGTTCTTGCCCTATAATCACCGAGTCGGTACACTGATTACGACGAAAGCGTTCCAGGGGTTTGGTTTTGTTTGCTTTATATGCATCGTTTTTGAGGTTTTTCTTTTATTGTTAAATTTTTTTAAATAACTTTATTGAGATATCGTACAATTCACCCCTTTGAGGTGTATAATTTAAGGGCTGAGCGTAGTCACAGAGTTGGGCAACCATCACTACAGGCGATGTTAGACCATTTTCACGGCCCTCGTGAGAAAGCGTGCACCCACGGTCGGCTGTTCTCTCTTTCTCCAGCGCCCCCAGCCCCAGCCAGCTCCCCCCGCCACCCCCGGGTCTATTTACTGTCTCTGTGACTTGCCCACAGTGGACACTTCGTGTAAGTCGAGTCACACGAAGGTGGTTCTCTGTTCCCGGCTTCTTTCTTGATTTCTGCCTGCAACTGTAACTCGACGTCGGACATCATATTTAAACCCACTTCGCAGGTCATTTTGTTTGTTTTTACAGGAACTTTTACTGTTGTAAACTTTATTTTGCGTAGCTCCACACTCTCAGATAATACTGCTCCTCATTGTGACCAGGTGACGGCAGAGGCCTGTGAGACTCCACACGAGAAACCTGAAGAAACTGTGGGACGTGCGCCCGTGAAGGAACACACTCCTCTGTCCCGGAGGCCATGCTGCTCGCTGCGCCTGAGGCTCCGAGAAAACCACTTTCCCCTTACGTGGGACGTGACATCCTTTTTATATGATTTTTTTACTGTATCTATTTCATAGATTAAAAATCCGGAGCCTAGGGAGTTTTAATAACTTGTCAAATGTGGTTGGCCCCAAAATGGTGGGGTTCATTTCCCTAACTGGAAGGTCAGTTTCTCTACCACGCACCCTGGCTCAGAGGGTGTGGAAGCCCCGGATGGAACCCCTGGACCGCCGGGCCCGCGAGATGCTGCTTCCAACGGGGCGCCGTGGTTAAGGAAGTTTGAGAAATGCTACATAGAATAATCTTTCTATCACATCGCAATTCTCGGGAGCTTCGTAAAGTCCCTCAGATGAGCTGCAGAAAAAAATTAACCTTGTCGGAGTCTAACAAGTGCCCTAAATACGTCTGACCAAGAAAATCTCTTCTGTTTCCCCTAAATGCTAGAGAACACGAGGGGCGGCCAACGCTGCCTGTGTCTGTGAGGAGCGTGAAGCCCCTTAAACCAGCAGCGAGCCATCCTGTGACCATCCAGTTCTCTCTTGCCTTTCAAAGCTCGAGTTCCGCCTCCATAGATAATTGTGGCCCGAATCACTCATTTCCATAGGAATGGCAATGTCTTTACATTTACACAACATTCTTATCATCCACTCAGCGAGGGCCTCGTCCGTCACAGCCCTGCAAGACAGAGAAGACGGTCATTACATCCCCATCGCCACATGAAAAGTGACAGGAAGGTATAAGTGACTTGTGGAATGAAATGTTTGGGCTCGTAACGGGAACTACCGTTTCCTTTTTTCATTTTTTCCGATTTTGATAGGTGAGAAAATTCAGCTAGTTTATTACCATATAGAAGCTTTTCTTCCATCATATGAAGCCTCACACAATTTCGAGACAGGACATCACTTGTAAAATTCTTAATCTTTTAGCAGGAAATGAAATGGGACATCTCTTGCAGAGTTCTTAATCTTTTTTAGTAAACCTAGTTAAGTTTTCTTCCGTCCTTTCTTTGGGAAAAAGGCCCTCTCCCTCAAATCCTGATAATTGCCCCAAACTGGTGACTCAGATCCTCTGGCTATCATAAGAGTCATCAGCCCATTGTTAGTAGAAACGGTGTTAAGTCAGACAGGGCCCTTAGAGTCTGAGGAGGGAGGGGACCTTAGGCCAAAGGGTTTTTTTTCATTCTCTTTGAGAAATATATTCACCAAACCTGTTTCCCTTTACTCATGTAATAGGCAAACCAATAATAGAAATTAATAGATATATGGTTTAAATAATACGTTCGTATCTTCTTTTCCTTGTCTAGAGACTGAGGTGGCACTTTAGCAGGAAACCCGAGACCCCACCCTGACTGAGGCAGGAAGGGAAAGCGCTCCATGAAGCCCCTGTGGTCAGGAAGATACAGAAGAGACCTCCCGTCCCTCAACATCCACACTGATAACAAGGGGGTTTAAGACTCTTAGAAAAGACGTAGGCAGGAAAGTTAGTTAGGGGGTTTCGGGTCTGCCTGCAAAGACGCTGAGGTCATCCTATCCTAGAAGGGGTCCGCCCTAATCTGCCCACAATTAAGCGAGCCAGAAGGCCTTTTTTAACTCACACAAAGAAACCAGTAGGCAGAGAATTAGGTACCAGTTTAAACCAGTCATTCGCACCTGCTTGATGAAGACTCCAATGATCTTCAACTCACCTGAGCTTCATTATAATACGACGCATATGCTTGAAGTTCATTAACATCATTATAACAAACTGAATTCTGGGAACAAACATGCGCAGAACGCAAAATGATGACTCACTGAGTCCTGTCAATCGTCGTTGTCAATCATGGAGGCCAACTCCTCTAAAAAACGTAAGCACCCACAGCAAAGAGGGATGAAAACCCCGAAGGCTCTGTTACCAGGCCTTTTGGGCCACGCTTCTCTTGCTCAGGCCGCTTCCACTGTGCTGGCTGGAAAAATACTGCTTGGCTATCGCCCAAGGGAACATAACATTCTAACAATAAGCTTTCTGCTTCTGTACCCCCGTTTGCACACCTGACCTGTGTGTTGACAGGTAGTGAATAGGAGAAAAATAGACCTTTGTGTTTAAGACAGAACGAGGAATGAGACTTAGGGCTTAAAAACCCTGTTCCTCTACATTTCGGGGCTGCTTAATTTGGGGTCTGCGTACCCCTGGCAGACCCAGCTGGCTGAATAAAGAGCATGTTTCCTATAACTCACTGGTTTCCGGTGGTCCGTGTGTGTTTCAGGGGCTGGCGGCTACAACAGCACGTGTGGAAGTGGACTTTCTCTTCTAATAAAACTTCTTTTCTACTGTATTTCGGTGTCTTGCTCAATTCCTTGTGGCTTCCTCAGCTGCCTGCCATGAGGGTCTCTATGGGACACCCAACCAGGGGGCCACCTGACACTTCTACAAGCACAGGCACTGTCATTCACATGTAGTGCATTTAAACTGCCTTCTCGGGCGCTGGCCCCTATGGGTGCTTTGTAACATCCAATCAGACTTCAGCAGCCTGTCCCAGCTTACAGGCTCTGTTCCTTACAGACCGTGGGAGAGCTCTGAGTGCAGCCTTTCTGTGACTGTGACTTTTGCACTTCGATGGGCATGTGAGGTTTTGGGTCACTGCTAGCCCTCTGTAGACACTTCATGAACCTGCGATTCATAGCAGCCAGTGACGTGAGCGGTTTTACCTTCCGTACACTGCTCAGGTATGGACGGCGGGGGCTGGGCCTTCCTAAAGCTTTATGAAATCCCGTAGCTGTGTTCCTTATCTACTCCCACGTTCTCCTACCCATCAGACTGTACTGCCTACTCCGTATTTAGAGTAGCAAAGATGCGCAACGTTATGAACGCAGTCCGTGGCCCCCCGGGGCTAACGACCCAGCTCCCTCGGGCTTGCCGGGCACAGTCTGCAGGCTGCCCTGCTGCGCTCCTCCCTGCGTCCACTTCCCCGTCTAGAACCTGCTGGCCTCGGGCGACCGCGCGGAGGTTCCCAGGGGCGGCAAAGGTTTCCGCGAGATTCCGGCCGCAGTGCCCTTGGGGGGAAGCGCGACCGGGTGTGCCACCGACCTGCCCTGAGGCCGCGTGGGTGCCTAGCAACCGCCAGCCAATCGCGGCCGGGCGCGGCCGTTTTACGGCGCAGGCCCCGCCCCACGCGCCGAGGGGCGGGGAGAGGGTGTGCGGCGCCTGCGAGCCAATCGTCTCCGTGGCCTCCGCGCTGAGCCCGCCCACTGGCCGCGAGCCGCGCGGCGCCGCAGCCGTAAGGCGGGGCCGAGCCGTCGTAAGGCAGCCGGCGAGCAGGTGCTGTCTTCGCTCTGTCCGCTCCGCCGGTGTCATTGGGCTCCGAGGACCGGCGGCGAGGGCACTGCGGGCGGCTTGGGGTCCCGCACGGCCATGGCGGGCGCGCTGGTGCGGAAGGCGGCGGACTATGTCCGGAGCAAGGACTTCCGAGACTACCTCATGAGGTGACGAGTGCCCCGGGCAGCAGCCACCGGGGTTCCCGGAGGCCGGGGTCGGCGCCTTCGGGGAGAGGGGCCGGGAGCTCCGGGGCAGTGGCGCGGGGTGGGCTCGGGGCAGCGGGACCGAGAGCTCGAGGCAGCGGGACCGAGGGCCGGGGTCGGGGCCGCGGCGCGGGATGGGCTCGGGGCAGCGGGACCGAGAGCTCGGGGCACCAGGACTGAGAACTCGGGGCCGCGGCGCGGGATGGGCTCGGGGCAGCGGGTCGCGGGAGCCGGGCAGCGGCGCACCGGGAGCTCAGTAGGCAGGACGCCAGCCGCTGGCGTGTACTCCGCCTCGGTGCACCCGCCGGGCAGGTGTGCGCCCAGGTGTGCGGACTCTGTGCCCGGGTGTGGGGTTGAGAAACGCCCGACGCCCGGGGTAGGGGCGGGAGCTGCGAGAGCGGCGCGTCCCTTGGGCTTAACGCTGTGCGCTGCTGCAGGTGAGCGCCAGGTGCGCCCGAGGCCCTCTGTGACCACGGCAATGAACCGGACTGGATTGACTTCACCTTTCGGGATTCTCGTTTTAAGAACTTTAAGCGTGGGAGGGAATCAAATCTAAAATATTTTCATATGCAAATATTCTTCCAAGCACGGTAAAATACTGTGTCTTCAAGGGCATTCTTGTTCTTATTCAATTTTCCATTCACTCTTCCTTTCTAGTTTCAGAGTGAGGGCATTCACGGCCGGAAGGCCTGACGACGATTTCTGCGTTTTATTTTCACCTCTCATCTTGAGATAATTCTTTTTATTTCAAAATTTTAATACAACTTTGAAACAGCTTTAAGTAGTTTATTTAGGAGTATGGTTTTTAGTTGGTTTTACCTAGTGCGATCTTAAAACCCAGGAAGCCTGTCTTTTTCAGTAGTTAATAGTGTGGTAAAGAGTAAAGCGTTGACAGCCAAGGAGAAATAAATCCTGGTATGACCATCCAGAGGTACAGGGTGAAGGCAACTTAAACTTTTACCAGTATAAAAAAGATTAATTATATTAATCCTGAATTTTATGCAAATACTATTCACTTCTAATTTCACAGAGCAGCAATCTGCCATGTGGTAGAGTAAATTTGGAAAGAAAAGTTTTCTTCCTGACTTTACAAAAAGAAGATTCAAGTACTTATACAAGACTTGTGATTGAGACACGTTTAGTACCGTGGAGCCACACAGTGTATTAGGTTGACGAGTTGCACCAAGTGGTAATGTGAAACTATGTTCTCAGTCCCTGCAGGTAAATTTCCCTGTGGCTTGGAG